GGCGCCCCCCATCAGCAAAATAACAGAGCGTATGCAAACATTGACACCACCAGCCGGAGAAGGCACCGCGCTCCTTCGCCTCCAGCTACAGACAGACCGTCTTCAGAAGCAAAAGGGCGAACTCCAACGTGCGCGCGACAAGCTGCGCACCCGCGGCGTCGCTCTCACACCCACTAAAGTTTATGATTCAGCACCACGCCGCGCAGCCCCTGCTGCCCCCACGCTGCGTGGGATGTTGATTGTAGTATTAAAGTTTGACGTAGACTGCGTTGGGTTGGGAGAAAGCGTTGTAATGGTAAGTGGCAGGTGTGACGTGAAGCTGGGACAGGCGTTGGCGCCATCTCTGGGAATTGAACGTTGGGCAGGGGAATGCAAAGAGATTTGTTCGGTGGATCAAACCGCGCGCAAAAATCGCATGGGCTTTGTTGATGTGAGGTGAGTGAAGTGCGAAAGTGCTGTGTGAAGAGTGCCCACGCAGTTGTTGCAACAGTGTGTGGCTGGCCGCTTGTTGGCCTGAATGGAGGGTCAGGCTGCCAGGGCCGCTCCTGCTGCCGCTATATGCTGTGGTGCTTTTGGAGGAAGTTTGAGGACACTAGCGAGCTGTAGACCCTCTTGTCCTTGAGGATTTGAAGGATGTGGTTGATTTGCGTCTGAATGGGGTGGGGGAGGGTTTTGATCCACTTCTGAATGGCTCGCTGGCTCCACGCTGCAGGTTGGTTCTCGCGAAGTGTTTGTGATGTGGGGTTGGGAACGGTGGCAGGGTTGAGTTGTGGTGGAGGTGCAGCGGTGGGTGCTGCAAGGGGCAAAGGCATTTCTTCTCCCAAACTCTTCTTCCAAAAAGGCGCGGATGTCTCCACATGCGGGCGATGTCAACCACTCCACGTCGTCCAGGTCTTTGAACGAATCCAACTTCGATTGGAATCGTGTGAGCCATTCTTCGAAGGCTTTCGAACCGACAAGGGCATTTGCAAATCATGCTTTGCGCTTGAAGCCCATTTTGAGAATAACCTCAGTCACTTCCTCACGCAAGCCTTCTTCGCAAGCCATCACCAGCGAGGCAAAAAGAAGTCAAGCAAAATACCAAGCTTTCTCAAGCAGAATGATTACCGCGCAAACATACATCGACATAGGTTAAAACCGCACCCAGGCTACCGCAGCCATAGGGCAACCCACTTAAAGCCCGTGCCAGGCTCACAGACCAAAACACGGTCACACTTGAAAAATTCAAGGAGCTCACGGCCCATACCTGGAGTACTACACTCTGCTTGCAAACAAATTTGCAAAGCAAGGAGCACCACGCTCCGACCAGAGCACGCGGCGCTACCCAACGCGAGTGAAACTGACAATCAAGCAAGATCGAAAAGACTCTTCAGTCTTCAAAATGGCTTTTGGCATGACATTCATGAGTACCAGTTCACATCCCAGCAGCGCACGCCGCGTGAGAGCAAGGCAGAAAGATTTGTTTGCTTTATGCTGGATTGGTATGCCACACTTCCCACCGCGGAGGTCGCAATCTCTGCTGTGGGGCGCAAGCTCGCCCAAACTCATCCAAGCCAAGATTTACAGCTGCGTGGAAATAAGAAGTTATTGCATTGACCATGAAAACGCTGCTGGCCATGGTCAAGGCGGGTGGTTCAGCGCGCCGGGGCATCCACCTCCTCCAGGTTTGACGCGCAAAGCCCTGAGGAAGAAGACGAGCTGCATGATGTTGAGTCGGCGTCGGTCCCCAAATCATTTTCATCACGACCCTTCTTTCAACCAGGGTCTGCGCTGCACATGGTTTTGGCATGGTTTACTATCTTAGACTCCCGCTACGTTGACAGCCGCTACATTCTCTGCAACGACCAACCCCAATGCTCACTCTTTCACATCCCAACTTCTACGGCCACCCTGTGGAGATCGACCCCGTAGAGGATGACCATTTGTTAGGTTTCCACATCGATCATATCAACCGCACCGTCACCTTTCAACAACCAGCTCATTCCTGGCAACTTCGTGATCCACAGTCAGCAGGCGCCATCGGCACAATCTCGACACCATCACACATTACACTTACCCGCCAAAGCTTGCCGCTGACACCTCACGACAGCTAGTACAATGTTACGTGGCAAAAGGCCATTCTCTTGCCCATTGCACCGCGGCGCTGCGGTCGAAAAAAGCAACAGGCCGACTTGGCAGGTTGTGTGTGTCAACTCCCGCTTCTAGGGCTTCTACTGCACTATCATAGTTCAGCAGGGGGTGCCAGGGATGCACACTAGGACTGGCACCAGCGAAGACGATCCGGGACGCTGGATCGACGTACCTGCAACATTTTCTAACACTCTCGTCTCGCCTTCGTCTCACCCATGTTAAACAACAATACTGTTGATGCGGACTCCTTCACCTTTCAGTTCACCAGCCAAGGTATAATCTGCAGTAAGCGTAAAGTGCTAATGCTCACCGCGAACCACTGAAGCTTAGCTCCGCGGAGCACTCATCTCAAGTGTGCAGGAAGTCTGCCAAACTTGCCTGAACCTGGGCTGTCTTTTTCCGTTCTCCAGCAGTTGAGGCAACACCGGTAATGGCAACCTAGCTAGTAAGCACCATCTACTGTATAGAAAACAACCACTCACTTGCCACTTGGCAAAGAATCAGGAAGCTCTTGCCTCTACATCCAAATCCGTGAGCAGCGGTCCCAGCCACATCAAGCGAAGCACCGCTCATGCTAGTATCCCGAGCCTTTCACCATATCCTGGAATTTCTCCGTGAGGCTGGCTGGTACAACCGCCAAGCGAGTCGCTGCTATACTAAAGAGTGACGGTTGGCTTCTCTGAAGTTTGAGCTTTCGATAGATTTGACATGATTTGACAGCATATATGAAAGCAAGCATTTGCGTCTTCCGACTCTAGCAGGTACATTTTTTGGCGTCTGTCCAAGCCTTGCCTTCTTATTGTTACAAATTAATGCAAATATACTGTAGTCTTTGAGGTAGGCTCGCCCAATTAAACAAGGAGAATCTATGCCTCAAAGTGCCATGTGTGGATCCAGGAATGCATTGCTCGTTCTGCACGCTGTTGGGCTCTTTCCGAAGTCTCGGAATTCGTCCAGTTCGCAAGTCTCATCTTGAACATGCTGCAAAAGTTTTTGGCATTGGAGTACTTGCCGCCAAAAAAAGGAACAAAAGGAAGCTGGCACTTGCTAGTTCATTGCACACAAGAGGTTGCCCAACTGCCCAAAATTCGCGACTATTAACCAAGCGGAAAATCACCAGAAGGGCCAGGGGAAGTTTCACAAAAGCACAAAGCTAAAGTGTTGATTCTTGACAAGTGTGATCTGGTATGATGATTTTGCCGGGGATGAAGTGCAATGTGGTGATGTGGTACAATTTGCACCTGACTTGTGACGGCTGAGGGAACACACTTGGGAACACGATATGTCTGTGACGTCTCCCTACAACGAGCCACTAGGCATGACCAATCGCGGAACACCTGGAGACTGGAGACCTGTGTGGTGTACAGCAGCGTCAACAGCGTGTAGAATTCTTGGTGAGGGAGTCAAAGCCTGGATTCTGCCGTCTGTTGCTGGGCAAAGACATGCTTTCTTCTCAGATAACTATCTTGCGTACTCAGTTCTGCCGTGGACTTGCTCAATTGCCCAATGTGTCAGTGAAGTAACCCGACGCAGAACAGCTGCAGTTAGTTGCTTGAGCTGCGACAGTTTTTTGCTGCATTGCGACCACAAAGAGGTTGCACTCCCCAACATAGTATGAGTGGAACGATACAAGCAGCCCAGCAAACACCTCATGCAGCCCTGCCAATGCGTTTTGAACGTGTCCGCCTTCTTAATTAGTGCAACTGCGATCCTAAGCAGCGCACACCTGACGCAGCCCTGCCAATTTGAGTGAAACTCTTTGCCAATCTCCTCAAACTCTGTAAGATGCTGCACCCCCAAACTTCACTTGCATACCTCTCACGCGAAGATTCCTTTATCTCACCTTCATGGGCAACTCATCTCAACATTCCGCAACTCAGAACTTTATAGAACTTTCTCATCGAAACATTCTGTGACCAAGCCCTTCAACCAGTCCCAGACTTTACCGACTTTGCTGCTTGTGAGGGAACAAGCTGCTTGCCTGAGGTCTGTGTCACAAAGCACACAAAGCTCTAGTGATCTTCTGTTGGTGTGACGGAATACTTGATGTCTTTCACACCTCGACTCGAAGCGTCCTTTCACAGAATAATTTGACGCACATACTGTCACATACCAAAGGGTTTACTCTCTCCAGAACTTACGAGGAAGTAGTTTTCCTATAATATTCATCGTTTAGCATTTTACGGACGGGGGTCTGCATGTCATATTTTTGTGTTGGGAAAGACTTCTTCCTCGTACGTTTGACATGCTAAACTTGCTAGACTTGCTGGCAGTTCTGCCTCACGCGTTGGGTCTTGTCATCTAACACCTCTTCAACAAACAACAATCTGGAAGTCTTTTGAGTTGTGTTTCTTTTGACGGTTGCTTCTGGGGTATACAGTTTCGGGGTGCATACACGACAGCTTGAGCAGGGATAACGCTTCTGCAAAGGGTGCCTACGCGAACCATCGCGCACTTACTGGTGGCTATGCGAGCGCCTGTGCAATGGACTTTCTAAACCTTCTCAGAAGGCTTGAAACTAGAAGCCAAGTTGCTGTGTCAAGTCCTTTCATCCCTTTCAAATCCCAGTACTGCCCTCATTGGTGTTGATTTAAAAGCTGTCATAATCTTTCATACAAGTTGGCACTATTAATGCACTATATAATTCGATTTAGAGCCTCTACCACAACCTCAACACAAGGTTCTCCACATAGTGCCTACGCAACGCTGAGAATATATAAAGCAACTCTGCCTTCGTAAGACAACATGGAGGTGCACTCTCATCTAAATTCCATCATGTCAAAAAATAATACACGTAGGTCTTTTGAGAGGTTCTTGGGTTAAAAGTTAAAAGACATCGAAAGCTCTCAAGTCCCTCTTGAAGGAAGCACCTTGAAGGCTGTAAAGGACTTTGTTGCCGAAGATCGAATTTGTTCAAAACGCTCCAAGGTCAAAAGCCGGCTCTTCTCCTCAGGGCAAAGCAATATAGGTTAATGAAGGACTCATGAAGAGGTTGTATGAGAGTGATTGTAAAATGCACCACAACACGTGAAAAATCCTTCGGAGCTTTCTCAGCTTTCTCATCAATTTCAACCTTCTCATCCTTTCACAAAGCACTTCTTGACTGCCCTCACTGATCATATAAATAGCATCTTGGGTTTGCAAGGCTAAACTTCCTGACCACTTCCAATCCCTGTCCCCGCAGTCTAGCCACAATCTATTTCATTGATGCACTTCCTCAACATTTATTTGCTTGGAATTGCCCGAGGGCTCTGCACGCTCTGCCACTTCAAATGGCTGCACAGTACTCAGAAATACTTCAGCCTCACTTTCAGCCTCCATGTCGGCCGTAAAGTCCAGAAGTTGCTGGTCCTTGAAAAGCAGTGCTGTGCAAGTGATTCCAAGTGTATATAAGTTTTTCTGTGGGAAACACGGTGAAAAGAACATGCTGATAGATGCTGGTGTGCTGGTGTACGTCCTCTTCAACAAGGAAGCGATAGAAATCCGGATCCTTTTCCTGCAAACTCACTGAGCCAAACACGGAAAGACCTTCACTACTATATGCATGCTCATCTGAATACTGTGGTCATGCAGTGCACTGAATGGCCAGGTGCTCCTTAATTGCCTGCAGTTCGTCTTCATGGCGCTGACCTTCACCTCAAGACGTTTACTCTTCACACACACACACACAAATTACAAATATGTAGGAGCTAAATTTGCCGTAGTTGTTTTTGGCATTCTTTTGACATGTTGGCAACCCTTTGAAAGTGTAGCTGTCACTATCACCTTCGACCCACCCTCACAAGTACAAATGCATTGGAGCAGGGAAGTCAAGAGCACCTTGGCAAGAGCCTCCTGGTTACCTACGGTTTCACAGTGTGAGCCTACAGGACATGATATGACACATTGTACCAACAAACCAACACGACCAACACGTGACAAGCCCATTGCGACAAAACGCAAACGACAAACTATGCAATGGATGGCTATGCCGTCCTTTATCAGGTCACACAATGTGTGGCTCATTTGAGCACGTCTAGACTCTAGACAAGGCCTTGCTTCTTTGTCTTGGCTTTGGTCACCTGTAGAGTCGAACACCCAGAATCGAAATGCCAAACTCTACATTGTGTTTCCACAAGCAGCACCAAAGCAAGGGGTATAATTATTGCCAAAGAATCAGGGCCTGATTTAATATGATTTAATATGAAGAGGCGGCGGCTCAAGTGGCTTTCTTCTGATTCTGCAACCCTTGACTGGTCTTAGGCTTTCGTGCCGAACGTGCTCATAAGTTTTGCTTTGATATCTCATTGCAACTCATCGGGTTTCTTGTATGAGAGACCGCACGCCACATTCTGTGAGAGATTGCCTCTGAAACTCAAAACATTCCCTGCCTTGCGCACTTTACGAGCCATTGCTGGACAGCCTATACTTCAGGCATCTACGTTCACCACGAAAGACCCCAAGTGCATTTGCCGCTTCCAAGCATTTTGCTGTGAGATGTCGATGGGCTCCCAAACCTTTCCTCTCAAAGGATTTGTACTGTCCATGTGTATTTTCGCTTGATAAAGGATATATACAAGGCTTTATATAAACCACTGCAGACACAGGATCGGACTTGAGATGTAAATGTGCCAACAGAAACTGCCCTGCTACCAGTATCTTTTGAACCTTTCATATCTGCTCGTGTCCTTCCGAACCTTGTTGTCTCTCATCACCCATTGAAATCTCTTCAAGAGTAAAGAAGACGGCTGCATTACGTTCTTGCCCCCCCCACAAGAATAAAGAACAAAGAACAGCATCAATATTGCACAGGCCCAGAAGCCGTGACTCAGCTGGCTTTAGCTTGCAGGGCTTACAAAAGGCAAATCACTTGCTCTAGCTTAAGGGCTTGCTTGGGAAGCGCTTTTACCCTCCATTCAGTCTCCAGCAAGCATGCAGGTTAAGCTGCATTAATGACTCGACCAATGCCTACAAAGTTCAATCTGGCATCTTGACGTCTTATATATCCGAAAGTATATAAACTCTATAGTGAAGTCGTTTTTTTTGTTTTTAGATTAAAAACCAGGTGGGTTTTGGCCCCTTTAATCAGGCTGCTTTTGAAGGGACTTCATTAAGGAGGCCTCAACACAATCTTTTTGCCTCTCACATGACACCGCTCAAGTGAGGGCCTTTTGACACGAGTGAGCTGCACTTCGATCAAAAGCAAACGCATGAAGCAACAAAGATAAATAGGTCCTCGCTGGCTGTCTGGCTGAGCACACATCTCATTTTGCGATGCCAGGTCCAATACTCAAGGGCAAACGGAGGTCAGGTCGCACAACCTGCGACGAGCGTCAATTCCGCAACCTTTCGCGGTATGATTTGGGGGCAAACCAAAAAAATGTCATGTACTTGGATTGCGATGCGATGATATGTTGTCTACCCTGCCTCACATGGACAACATGGACATAGGCCTCCTCAATGAATATGTGGGCAATTCAATTCGCAAACATACCTGTCAATCATGGCTAAGCGCATAGCTTTCTGGAACCAAGCACAGCACTTGTAAATGGATACAGTAGCCGGTTGGTAATACAAACACTTCTTGAGGCATGGCCAATCCCAGAAAACAGCAAGTCCCACAAGCCTACTATGATTCTTGCGTTGACCACAGTGTTTCTCTATGTGTCTTCATGTTCCAATCTCGTGTTCTTTAACGCCTCATGTCCTCATGTGCTTGTATGGGCGGTTTAGACCTGCATGTTTCCATGTGTGATATCATGTAGGAGCGCCAACTTTCAAAAAAACACACTAGAATCATTGCGGATCGCTCCAGCAACATCAATAGCAACTTGAGAGGAAGGAGACACGAAAGGTAGGACAGCGGGAAGAGAAGAGAACGCGAGTGGCATACTTCGAGCCACAGCAGCGGTCTCCAAGCCCGCATCGTTTTTGGTGTGTGATCTCGGTCTCCATGCCTGTATTTCGTTTTGGCGTGTGGAAACCCATCTCGTTCTCGAGAGGTCTTCCTACCTCGTTTCACAAGCTAAACATGTCATTAACCAAACGATTGCAAACAAATGGCGCATTTGATGCCCATCTCGTTTTCGGGGTGTTCCTACCTCGTTTCGCCAACTAACTCTGACATTGGGCTATAGAAAAGGAACGCCCCTAGACCAATCACCACTACCGCAAATAGAAGCCGTTGCTCATATGCTCTCGAAATGTTCAGAAAGGTTCTTATAAGGAAACAACCTCGCCCCATGGCTCAGATCATCGGTGAGCATAGAATCGGAGCATCATAGGGTTTAAACTATTCTGAAACCAGAAGAGACTCACGAAGACGTTCCCCAAAAGAGAATAGACGTGGTTCACAAAACAAACTCTAGGTATGTATCCCCTCGGGGAACACCTGTCGTGATTAGAATTTCATATGCACTCTGTCTGAATGTTCAAGAGGGTTGCAACTATCCTGAAATCATGAGAGGCTCACGAAGACGTGCTCCTTGAGTTTGGCCCCAGGAGAGAAGAAAATAAACTCTAGGTATGTAACACCTTGCGATCCTTTCGGGGAACACAGAGACGCTTACGAAGACGGTCTCCAGGAGAGAATGGTATTTTAACGAGAACACATTTCGTAATTCGAATTTCATATGCACTCTTTCTGAATGTTCAAGAGGGCAAGAGGGTTTCAACTATCCTGAAATCATGAGAGGCTCACGAAGACGTTCTCCAGCGGAGAATTGAATTTTGAGGGGGGGGGGGGGTTGGTTTTAAAAAAAAAGTTCGAGGGGGGGGGGGGTTGAATTGAATGATCAATTATTAGACCCGGACTCGCCGACACTTGCTTCGCAAGTCAAACTCAAGGTATCCCCTAAAGGGCTACCTTTCGTGACAAGTAAGTGCAAAAACAGCAGCACCAACAAAAGAAATGCATAATGTGTGGGAACTGATTGAGCCTTGTAAACACAAAACATAATTAGTGAAAGCTGGCTCAAGCCAAAGCAACGACACCAGCAAAGCAAAGAGACCAGCCAAGAAGATTCTGGATTTGACAAGAATGATAGAACTGCAGGTTTGACACGCACACACACAAGAATGATGACAAAAAGGGAAAGACACTCGAATATCATTGTCCCAAATATTGTGTGCTCTCTTGATGCTCGGAATGACATACCATCAATGAATGATATGTTCGTGATAGCGGATGCTACGGGCCAACATGAACGGAGAATTTAGGCTCACAAACGTAGTGACCCCAAGTCACAGTCCCAAAGGTGATAGGCACACTTTTAGCTCACGCTTGAAGTAAGCAAAATGGCTGCAGTGAAGCATACAACTATACACAACTATGGCATGTACATGTATATCTCTGGTGCTACATCTGATCACGCCTCCCGAGTTTAACGTCTCTCAGAAGTTAAGCGAGTCAGGGTTAGCACATGAGTGAATTAGCCCGTAGCCCTTCAGTACTTCTTCAAGACCAAGATGTACCTACTCTAGCTCAAGCCGTTCAAGCTCTCAGTGTTAGTTCATGCTCACCTTTTCCAGGTAGTGGAAGTTCATGCCCTTCATGGCTGTGGTCATTTTCTCCTCGGTGACAGCTTTCGTTAGCGCGTCGGCCAACATTCGGTCGGCGCCTTCTTTCTTGAGACGAAACTCTTTCTTTGCTGTACGCTCTTGTACCCAGTGGTACTGAGTGTCAACATGTTTGGCTCGTCCCAAACCTCGACGGTTTCGCATGGCGATGCCAGCGGAAGCGTCCATTGTCACCTCTTTGCTGGGAAACAATCCCCAGTCTCTGGCCGTTGATGCAATTCCAAGCATCTGACATGCTCCAGAAACAAGTCCATAATACTCGGGTTCACCACTGCTAAGGGAGACCACTCTTTGGCCTTTGCTGTAGGTAGTGAGACAGCATTTGTTGGCCATGAGCACGCCGCCTGACACACTCTTTCGTGTTCTTATGCATCCTGCATGGTCGGCGTCTGACCACATATTGAAAGGATTGCAGGTGCTCTGATTTGGAAACAGCTGTGCAACTCTTGGTCGATACCTGACACATCTCGCCAATCGTTTCAGCATGTTCCAGTGCCTCGATGTTGGGTTCTGTAGACCCTGTGCCAACGAGCGCGTTGCAGTTTGCAGATCAGGTCGATCTTGTGCCAAATACGCGGCTCTCATAGCAATAGATCTATACATCGTTGCATCTTCGGCGCTCAACCGAACTTCTTCGTGTTGGAGTTCCTCTTGACTTGGCTTGGCCAATGGTGTCTTGACCTTGCCTGGTTGACCACTCCCTAACCACTTGATGATCAACTCTGCACGTCGTGGATCTGGTTCCCACCAAACGCCTTCGTTTGACCAAGTGATGATGCGGTTCAACACTCTGATCTGTTGACTGGCTTTTGGTGATCCAGGTGGACCGAGAATGCCTCGTTCCACAACTTGCCTTTCTTTGGCTGCTGAAGTGTGAAACCATTTGATGTCGTCAAAACTTCTTACTGTAGTAAAATCATCTACATGCACTTCTGTTCGAAGCTCTCTGGCTGAATGGTAGTAAATACATGGATTTGACTTTCCTTGCAAAAATCCTAACTTCTGCGTGAACTCTGCAATGGTCAGTTCCCAATTCATGGGTGCGTCTCTGGTGCTATACAGGCTTCTGACCAACAGATGGAATCCCAACATAAAGTTCTCTTGTTGCCTGTTGCCTTGGAGTAGAAATGAGCTCTTTGCACATCTAAAAATCCTAGGAAAGATTGCCTGGTCTTTCTTGTCTCGCCTTTCTCCAATGGAAGGCTGCCGCTGACTGCAATGGTGAGCAGTAGCTTCAAAGCTACCAGGCTCGGCATGGCTGCGAAAATTCGTCAAAACCTGAGCCTCTTTTGATTTCCTGTGCCACCAATCTACTTCTGTAGAGAGGATTGGTTTCATCTTGCTTGTTCACATCGACCCATCGAGTTCCAATGATTTTGGTTCCTTTTGGAACTTTCTTGGGATTTTCTCCCAAACTCCCATAGATTCGACAATGTCGATCTCATCTTTTCTGGCTTTCTCTACCTTTTCAAGTAGGAGTTCTTTTCCACTGATGTCATCATAGTACTACCAGTCTCTTGCTTCTTCTGCCATTTCTTCTGGCAGTGGAATCTGGTCTTCACACACTGGTTTCTCTGGGTCGATACTAGATAGCACTCTCTCTCCGTCTTCTAGGATTAGGCTTTCTAGAGCCATCTCAATGCCCTGGATGTCTCTGGTTCTTTCGGCTTCATCTTCTGCTGGTTCATGTTGTTCTTCACGTTCCCCCGATCGCGAGGTCACCTTGGCGTTGATCTTGCCAAGATCCGTCACCGTCTCGCCCGATGCTGTCTTGTAGATCTTCGAATTGGCGCCTTCAGGCAAAACAGGCTTGTAGCCCAATGCTGCGGCGAGT